AAAAAAAAAAAGCCTGGTAACCACAAAAATTAATCAGGCTTCCCTGTTGAAAAAACCAGCATATGCTGGCATGTGCTGCATATCATGTGCTGGCAAAGGACCAGCATAAACCAGCAAAGGACCAGCTTAAACCAGCATCCCAGCATCAAAACATACCTAACCAGCATATGCTGGTTTTTTCAACAGGGTTTGCTACACGAACCATGGTATTTGTAGTAAAACTGTGGTTATACAAATGGTAATCAATATGCCAAAAAACGTAACCATGGTTCATTTTCATAAGAGCGTGGTGACATAAAAGCCACTCTGAATCAGGGCCATGCACAGGGGGGGGTGTCCCGGTGGCTAGAGCCACTGCACCTTTGCCCTCATCGGCTATTATACTACAATATAGTTAATTTCCCATTATAATCACTTGTCTTGATACTAGTAATCTATAACTGTCACGTTTATGTTCTGTGTTTCTGTTCTCTCTGTCCTTTGATCTAGTTTTCCCTCGTGTTTTCCTTTGCCCATATTTGGCCTTCCTTTTCCTGTTCCCTGATTGTGTTCTATTTGATTCCAGGTGTGTCTCGTCTTCCCCTCATTAAGTTGTGTTCTTAAGGAGTGTTTGATTCAGAGTTCTTTGTTAGGCATTTATTGTCATTACCTTGTTCTACTTTGTCTGCTCTTTTTGAGTTTGTTATTAAAGTCTGTTCAATTGGAAGTTTATCTCCTCCTCTCCTCGTTTCCCTCCTATACGAACTGTGACAGAAACACATCATGTTTTATTAAAACCATATTAATAGTAGGCCTATAAATAGTTTAAAAAAAATATATAAATGTTCTAAAGTTCTTATGGTGGGTTAAGTTAAAATGCTGACTCAATTTACCCCACAGCATTTTGCTCACTTTGCCCCATAGCTGCCATTTTGGAAAAAAATAGCTACTGTTGCTTACCAGTTCAGGCTAATATTTAGCTAAATGATTTGCTTGGTTTTATATGTTGCTAAATCACCTATATGTATCATAAATACTTTTAGACCTGGACAAATTTGCTTTGATGTAACAACCATTACATCTGTTATGCTAAAATTTTACTTTGACAAGCCAAAACCTGTTTTTAAAGTAAATGGGTGCCTTCCATTCCCCCATGTGTTTCTCCTTTTCACAGTCTGGCAGAAATGATGGGTGGTTCCAAATACATGGTCACGTGACAGTAAAAGTGTACAGTTGCCCAGATATAGGGAATGGGTAAACTTACTCACTGGCTCAACTTACCCCACTCTCCCCTACTTCCACCCCCTCTCTCCCCTACTTCCATTGAAGATGAGGCAGAAGCAGGCTCAGAGAGTGAGGGAGAGCCCACCCTTATCAAAACATCTACAATAAAGTCTGAAATTATTACAGATTGTGCTGTCTTCTCTTTTAATTGTATATTTGTAACAACTGGATCATTTGTATTAACAAGCACCCCACCCCCCCTAGTGCCCCTTTTTTGGTTTGGGCCACTGCCCCTCAAACTGTCTGTGCACGGCCCTGCTCTGAATGGTCTAGAAACGACCTAACAATCACCCAGAAAACGGTAGTGAATATCAAGAATACCCTTAGTAAAACTATTTGCTAAAAATACTCAGAACTTCTCAATAACCACCTAGCAATCACCCAGAACACAATAGCAAAACTTTAGCAAACACCTGAACACACTAGCAAAGCCATATGGTAAAAACACTCAGAACGTTCTAGAAACCACCTAGCAATTAGAATCAGAGCACATTAGCAACACTCCAGCAAATATAAAGAATACCCTTAGCACAGCAATGCGTTAAAACTTCTTAGGAACCACCTAGCAAACACGCTAGCAACTCTCTAGCAAAAACTGTATCACAAACACAGTTTTAGCATGTGTTAAAAACCCCTAAGCAATGA